GAATATATTGCACAAAACTGATATTATTGTATATACATATACACTTGCAGAAAATAAAATTTGGGAAAAATTTAATTTATATAGGAAAAGTTGAAGCATTTAGAGCGAAAGGAAGAAAGAGAGAGAGAGAGAGATAGAGAGAATAAATTGCACAAAACTGATATTATTGTATATACATATACACTTGTAGAAAATAAAATTTGGGAAGAATTTAATTTATATAGAAAAAGTTGAAGCATTTAGAGCGAAAGAAAGGAAGAAAGAAAGAGAGACAGAGAGAGAGAGAGAGAGAGAGAGAGAGAGAAAGAGAGAGAGAGAGAGAGAGAGAGAGAGAGGGAGAGAGAATAAATTGCACAAAACTGATATTATTGTATATACATATACATATACACTTGTAGAAAATAAAATTTGGAAAGAATTTAATTTATATAGAAAAAGTTGAAGCATTTATAAAAAGTAAATGTATAAACAAAAAAAATAATAATTACAAATTGATAGGCCGATTTAAATGGATTAAAATGGGCTTGGCTGGGTTTGGCTTGACTTGGCTTGGCTTGACTTGCTTGCTTGACTTGCTTGCTTGATTTGATTGATTTGTTTGCCTTTTTGCTCAAATAATTTACATTACAATTAATAAAACTAATAGACTAATTATAATTTGAAATGTTACGATTTTGTGGTGTTTTTTTTTTTTTTTTTTTTTTTTTTAAGGACTTGTTTTAATTTAAACTTATGTTGAGATGGTGAAGAGAAATTTAGTTGTGGTGTTTTTTTATTTTTTCTTTCTACTGAAGTGTTAGAATATATAAAGCGATAGATTAGAAAAAAAAAAAAAAATGAATATTGTATTTTTTTACGTTATTATATAAATTATATGTTATATAATAATATGTTACGACAAAGTTTTTATCATAAATTTCTAGGTAATGTTTTTCAATAATTTTCTCAGATCTATTTATACACATTTATATTATAAAGGATTTATTTTCTTTGCGATAATGCCACTATGAATCTGAAAAAAAAAAAATAAAGTGATAAGAAGAAGAAATAAAATATAAAAAAAAAAGGAGTTTCGTAAAGATAATGATTCTTAAAAAGAAAAAAAAGGGAGAAAATGAATTAAAATAAACTATACAAATAAACAAAAACGAAAATGGAAATGGAAAAAAAAAACAAAACAATAATACAATCAGGAAAGAGAGTTTTATTTAGAGTTTGTCTTGGGACGAATCGCACGCTGAAAATTCTGCTAATTAATGACATATCGCATATTGGCTCCGTCTCAGTTCTTTTTTTTTTTTTTTTTTTTTTTTTGTTTTTTTTGATTGATTTGTTAAACAGTTATATAGCAATATTTACACGGACACCCGCACCAAACAAATTTAAATGTTTTACGTCATTCCTTCATAAGGAAGATAGATAAAAGAAATGCCAAGCGGGCAAATGTACTTGATCTCATATTTGACAGGATATTATTATTAGATAGATTGCTGCAAACATATTTTCCAGCTGTACATAAAAAGATGCCTTCTTTTTATTGTTAAGTGAATAGGTGCATTAGGTCTTCATAGCATAGAAAATAGAATATATTGATCGCAGAATTCAGAAATTGGGATAAACTGCATAAAACTTTTTGTGCTCGCAAATTTTAGCTCATTTAGACTTCAAATTGAAAGAAAGACCACCGAAAAGAAATCTAACAAATTAAATGGTTTCGTATTCGTTGTGTGAAGCATTCTTAATAAGAGAAGATCGGAGAAATGTTGAACGAACAATGCATCGAAAATGATATAGCATGATCCCGCATTTAAGGCTATCCATGTCGAAGGGGAGAATGCTTCTACGTAATCGGCCAGATGATGATAAGAAAAATGTAACAATATATGGAAACGACGGAAAGCAAAACGAAATTTATTTATTAAGAAAGGAATGAAAAATGAAAAAACGAAACAATACAACAATGGTGCGCATAGAGACTAGTGAAAAAGTTAGTTCCACATAGGCATGGCATTTTTTTCTTTTTTTTTTTTTTTTTTGGCTCATTTAGGAAATCATTAAACGAAGAGTTCCAACTTTTTACGTAGGCTTTTTGTTTTTTTTCCAAATTAAAAGTCAAATCCGCATAAAATCTATATTTAACAAAATACTCTATCGTAAAAGCATGCTTTTTTTTTTAGTAGCGACTATAACCAAGTTAATTACTTAACAGTGCGAAACAAACAAGCTATGGAACTAATTGCAAGGAACTAACCTGTTGGCGCTGCTACAGCAATCGGCGCAGTATTGGTACTAGCAACATTACCAGCATTATTGCTGTTAGTAATGGTGCCGGCACCAACTCTTGACGTTTCATTTGAGCTGGCAGCAGCTGCAGCGCCACCTTCCCCGCCAGGGCCGCTATTAGTAGGGCGTTTTGGTACTGTACTCTGCAGATGTTTTGGCAACAGTTGTGGTATTAGGCTTGGCTGTATTGACAGTTCTACGAAAATCAAAATAAGAATGATATAGAATAGAAGAATACGTATTTGGAGGGTGGATTAGGGGGGGGGGGGGGGGTGTTGGTCATATCCAGCACCTTTTACAGGAAGTAGAATTTTTTTCAACACTTACCATGCTCTGTGAAATTAAATAATGGCGGCATTTCACGGCCATTGGGTAATGTATGATTACCCTCTTGACGTAATTCATCAAAGAATGGATGGGCGCATGCCTTTAATGGTGTAATACGTGCACTAGGTGTGTATTCCAATAATTGTGATACCAAATTTATAGCTTCTGGTGGTGTACGTATACGGAAAACCTTTCAAATTACATAACATGTACTTATTATTAAAATATGAAATGATAAATTAAATAATTAAGATTGGATGGTATTTAGTTGATCTAAATTTTCATTGAAAGGTGTATTAAGCGAAAAGAAAGGCGCTTTAAGAAAAAAGAATGATACAAAGAGAATGGTAAAGCTACTCTCAGACAATTCAAAAAGCTAATACTTTTCCTTATATTTCCGTTTTTAAATAATAATGCTATAGCTAAAGGAGCGTCCCAATTTCCGAGCGCAAATGATTCTCGCAAGTAGTATTCAAGTTCACTATAAGGCTTGCTACAGAATATCATATCTTTCTCCTACTCTCCTTCTTCTTTTCCTTTACAAAATATTGAAAAATGCGGATGAGATTGGATCGAAACTTTACTGTGATACGTTTACAAACACGCCCACAATTAAGATTTCCAATAATAAATGTCTAATCAATACTAAAAGTTTTATGAAAATTCATGCGATAAAATGCGATTAAAATTTGGAACGAGTACACATAATTCGCTTTCCAAGGTCTGTAGAGCGTTTTATTACTTTGTTGACTTCTGTTTCAATAAATTGTAATAGTGTACGCAAGCAATTAACGGCATTGATAAAGGATGCAACCGTAAAGCCGAACGTTAAAATTGGATTTAAAATCACAAAATATTATTGAAAAATTTAGAAAGATGCAGAGGCACTATTTCCGAAGCGTTTTCAATTTTGCTGTAAATCATATTTAAATCGAAAATCTTTCATGTAAGAAAGAAGACAACAAAGAAAAACAACATTAGAAGCATTAAATAAATACAATAAATAGTTGAATACAGTTTATGAAAGGAACTGGACGGTGAGATAGCAAGCGTGAATTGCTTTCTCTAAAACTCGTGTATTTTGAGCTTACTCTTAAACGTTGCTGTTGATTTAGGGCGTTTGGAATTTGGAAACGTTCAAGAAGTGACTGCAAATATTTTTGTACTTAAAATTATTAACGAAAAAAAAAAAAAAAAAAAAATTTCAAATGTGTTACATGAAAATGAGTTGTAAATTGATTGTGCTTTCAGATGTTCACACGATCTAGTGTATAAGTGGCCTACCCACCTTTTGCCATGGATGACTTTTAATTTGTGGGAACTTAAATTCCGTATAATTGGGATTCATTTCACGGATTTGCTCTCGTGTGGGTGTGCCCAGAACCTTAATCACTTCGACTAATTGATCAACACCAGAATCACCGGGAAATATCGGTTGACCCAAAAGTAATTCAGCTAATACACAACCGGCGCTCCACACATCTTTAAAAGATCAATACAATATTAAAATATATATGTTAAAAATGAAAAATGCTTTCATATTTCATGTCATCGCATGTGATGATGACATGATAGAATGAAGAAGAGCAAAAAGTCTTACCAATTTTTGTTGTATAATTAATGGCTCCAAATATTAATTCGGGTGCACGATAATAACGCGAACATATATATGAGACATTCGGTTCACCATGTAATAACTGCTTGGCGCTTCCAAAATCGCACAATTTCAATACCGCTGTCTCTGGGTCCAGTAAAAGATTTTGCGGTTTTATATCACGATGACAAATACCCAATGAGTGTATATAAGCCAAACTTCTAAATAGTTGATACATGTAAAGCTAAAAAATAGAATAAAAATTTGCAAATAATTTCAGATTTTTAGTACGCGACAACGGGTAGGGGGGAGGAGAGGGAAGCTATTGAAAAGAAAACTGCTACTCACCCTTATAAAATTAATGGGTATTGTTTGCTTGGTTTTGGCGTACTGACGAGCCACTTTATAAACGGTTTCTGGTATATATTCGAGTACTAAATTCAAAAATACTTCATCACGCTTCATATGAAAGAAAAATTGGCAAAGAAATGTTCAATTATTGATTTTCAAATTGAAATAAAATCACTTACGATATATCTTAGGAGAAGAAAAAAGCTTTTATGTTTAAAATGATAAAGAGAAACAAACTAAATAGTAATAATAAAATAATGAAGAACAAGTATATTGTATATTTTAAATGTTTGAACAAATTGTCCGAATCTCATATACACTACACTAAAAATTTAACAACTAAAATAGAGTATTGGGGGGTAATTAATTTTTTCCAAAAAATAAAAAAATAAAAAAAATTAAATTAAATTAAAATAAAAAACCAAAGATAAAAAAATTAAAAGTACATTCAACGGATATAGCCTCCGATTAAGGCATGACATCAAATTTTATAGAAAGGCGATAGAAAAAAGCCTTACTTTCAACTATCCAACTTCGATCTCAATTGCTCCTTATAATGAGCGAATTAAGTAGTAAGGGGAATGGGACATTCATTCGACTCACGCTCAGATAAATTGACTTTTTTTTTTTTTTCTTTCTTTCTTTTTTCAAATATACATATTGTAGACGCGTATCCAAACTAGAGAGAAAAACTTTGGCCTTGGAGTTAAAATCAATTGGAAAATTATTTATGTCCACTAATAACTAACTAGACGTTTTTCACTTTAATCCCGTTATAATTCCGTTCCGTTTAGTATAGTAGTAATTTCGAAAATGTCTCGTTCGCATACGTATCATCATATAGGTGAGTTGTCGTACTCGGCTTAAGAAAACATTCATTCAATTTCGTCATGTGTATAGCTTACGTTTAAGAGCTTTATTTGCCATACATACTATAAAGTAGCGAAGGAAAATAACGTGAGGTATTTTTCATTTTTGTATTTCTTAAAAAAGGAAAAAGGAAGAACGAAGAAGAATCATGGCTTGGCGATTGGACGATTAGATTCCGACGTTGGCCAATCATCAACTATTTCGTTAGGGATGTTTGGAGTGATGTCCTACTCGTAATGGATCGGCTAATGACCGAAATAATTTCAAAATTCTTCAAACAAAATTATATAGCGAAGCACGTGAGGTCTGTATTCAAGAATATATTTATATGGTTTGCATTTAGTGCGATTATAAATCAATCGCTTTTGCTGTAAGTTTTTATCGCTTGAAAAAAAACAAAAAAAAAAAAAAATAAATAACTAAATACATAAATAAATAAAATAAAAAACGACTTGACTAGGAGAGAGCAAGCACACACTTCTTACAAGTGGGCAAGGCAAGGCAAGGTAGTAGGTAGCAAAGTAGTAGTCGTATTTATGTAAATTTCAATTGAAGCAACTCGGACAAGCCAGGCTGTCGCGAATTGCTAGCATACACGGGTAAAATGAAAGAACAAGAGAACACACGATCACTTGGAGTTTTTGAAATGAAAAAGAAAATAAGATTCTGAAAATAATACATTATACATACATTTAGGTAAGAGGTGTGATTGTAAACGTAGGAAAATTGGTAGGCAACGTATTTTAATGTACAGCTTTTTTTTTTTTTTGTTTTTTTTTTGTTTTTTTAGCGGTGAGTACTATGATGTAAGTGGTGAGAGAGCAGATGAATACTGCATATTTCGTTCTATTATTTTTTATTCTTATTTTTATTTTTATTTTTTTTTTTGTTTTCTTGGCGAATAATTTCTTATTCTCGAACGAAAATTGAAAGATACGTATGCATGTTTGTATGTATGTACACAATTAATGAAGAAAAAAGAGAATAGCTTTATAAAAATGGTCAAACATTTTGCAGAATTTGAATTTGATTGGTTTGATGAGCGTTGTGAAAAGGTACCTGTGGCTTAAGCACCCCCGCAAGAGCGCCCAAATCAATTGGAAATTCGGCCAACTTGTTGTTGGGAGTTGTTGGGAAAATCAAATAGATTTCAATTTCAGTTTTCGGACGGTTAAAAATTGAATTGAATTGTTTTTTGGTTTTTGGCGTATTAAAATAGGTTTTTTTTTTTTTGTTTTTGTTTTAGTTTTCATTTTGTATTTTTTTATTTTTTTTATTTTTTGGTAAAGTTGTATGTGAAGAGGATTTTTATGTACCCACATAACGTTTAGAAAACAAAAGGAGAAACGAAACAGAAAAAAAAAACAAAACGAAAAATAAATTTTACTTCGAAAAATTAATTTATATCAGAGAAAAATTCAAATCTACGAAAAGTGGAGAAGAGAGTAAAGTAAAGTAAAGTAAAGAAAATTAAGACATTTCATTATACTTGAACTTGAAAATTCAATTTATAAAGGGGAAAACACATGCTTGCATATACATAATGTTATGTGATTCGTATTAAAAAAAAAAAAAAAAAAAAATAATAATAATAATAATAATAATAATCAATAAATAAATTAATTAATAAATATATAATTAAAAATAAAAAAAGTGAAGAAAAAAAAACAAAAAACAAAGAAGGAAGAGCAAAGTCCATATTGATAAGAAAACATCTTAAGTATACCCACCACCATTTTGGGGTTTGGGTGGGGTTAGTTGGTGTTTCATTCGAAGATTCCTAGTATTAAATAATTGCAAACGAAACTTTTATGCATATTGTTAACTATTTACCTTTTCACCGCTCGAATAGAAAAAATACAAAAGTTTTACAATATTACAATGTTCCAATTTACGCATTATTTGCAATTCGCGATTCTGTAAAAGATCAAATAATCAATAAAATTATATATATATATATATATATATATATTCTTCATATAATTAATTTATTTAATTACCTTAAATCGTCTATCTTGTAAAACTTTTTTAATTGCCACCAATTCACCAGTATCGCAAAGTCGGGCCTGAAAGACCACACCGAAGCTGCCGTTACCAATTACCTTTGTATCGGTGTAGGAAACTTCTTGTACACGATCCGTACCCTGACCGGGTGTGGCCACGACTGTGGTAATTTTCGCACCATCTCTGCCTAAATAAAAAGTAAAACCCATTATATAAATATATATATATATGTATGCCCATAATTAAGAATATCAAAGTTTCAATGACTTCCTCGATGCTTGCCTTGTTCAAGCAAAGCGAAAAGTGGCGTCAGGCTTCAGAAAATTGAATAAAACCTCATAAAAAAGAAAACATAGTCGACTTAAACGAAACACATGAAGATAAAATATCCTATTCATCATATAATGAATATTATGAATATTCACTTCACGGTGAAAACAACTACAAAACCGTAGCAACTAAGAAAATTATATTCGGTCATAGCCGAATCTATATTATACCCATCACCGTTATCCTAAAAATTGGCAAAAAAAAAAAAGGAAAAAGAATTAAATTTTCATCCACTATGAAGAATATAATATGGAGTGGGCGAGGTTGATTTTATTCTATTTTCAAAATAAAAGTTTTTATCCCATAGGTGGAAGTGTGGAAGTTGTAGGCGTATCCTTTGAAAATAACTTTTGAAAATTTGTAGGCGATTTCTTCATTCTCACTAAAGGGAGAATGTTTACCGCAGCTAGTAGGTAGTTGAGCAGGCGCAGGGGCTTCTAACTCGAACGACATAATACAAGCGATAATAAATGAGTTGTAATTGTAGCGAACAAGGGAGCTGGCTTTGCTTTATTATTATTATTATTATTTTTTTTTTTTTTTTTTTGCACTTTTCTAAAGTCCTATATAAGGATTCCAATTTTTATGATGAAACTTATATAGGAAGTAAGTAGGATGAAAAAACTCCCTTTAGCGTAGAATATTAAGGCAATTGATATGAATGATCTCGAATAGTGCATAACTTCATATTAGTTGTAGATAGAGAACAATTCATTAATGTTAATGTTTTTACGGATTTTACCTTCAGTTTCCTCAACACCTTCAATTTTCTCTTTAGCTGCATCAATTTCTTTTGGAATGGAGAGTGCGACACTGTGTTCGGGCCATAAATCATTTAGTTTACCAACTAATTGTTTCATAGCTAATATGTGTGTGTGTTTAGTTTTTTTTTTTTTTCAAATAAATAAAAACAAAAGAAAAAGCAGAAGCAGAAGAAGCAAAGCGTCGTTAAATTTTTGAAAAGTTCGTAGAGCGCAAAGAGGGAGAATGAGAGACGAAGAATTTATAGCCTAAAACGTAATAATTTTAACATAGCTTGCTGCTAGCTATCTTTTTATTATGAACCTCGTATCTATTATATTACGACAAAAAAAAAAAAAAAAAAAGAAAAAGATCTTTACTATTACATTGCGTTCATATAAAAAAGAAAGGCAGCCGCGTAATGATATACTGACGACGTTGGGTAGATTTGTACCAGAGCTTATCTTTTATTTTACAATGGTGCCATAGCGACAGACATGGGTTTTTTTATTTATTTATTTATTTAATTATTTTTATTTATTTTTTTTTTACCGCAATTTAAAAGCAAACAAAGGCACTATTAGCTCTAGGAATGTGTCTTAATAAAAATAATAATAACAACGAGTCGCTGAAAAACTATTACTTCATAGTCTAAATGGCTAAAGGTCATTATTGATTGTTTACATATTAAACACACTTACACACCTACACACCTACACACCCATATCAATCTGAAAATGTTGTGAACATTTAATTTTTGCTCTCTGATCTTGCGGCAGATGCATGCGTTCACTAAACTTTATGCCATTCGTGCCAAGCGGTACGAACATATCTCTATTACTAGAGACGGCCACCACTTAATATAACTTCGTTAATTGTCGTATCATTTATGAAGTTCTTCAAGTCTCTTCTTCTTCTTCTTCTTCGCAAAGTTACGAGCCAACGGAGTTGACAAATATCTTAGGCCATTTTTTTGATATAATTTCGTAGAAATGCATGGACAAATGGACAAACGTAACGGCGGCGTTTTAATAAATGTGCTCCGACAAGAAAATCCTTACAAATGTTTATTAACCTTTATTAACCTCGCTTTTTGCAATTTTTATTATTCATATTTAAGTTCAATTCGCGAATTGAACTAAATTTATTCTTTAACCTATTAGTGGCAAACACCCTCAAGTTCCGGATTTAAGAAAGGAATGCTTTGAAGCAACTTCTCTTCTCTTACAAAAGTTGATTGGAAAAAGAATATGAAAAAATTGATTCCGGAGACTAAATCACTTTAATCACTTCCATCACTTCTATCACTTCTACTTTACTGTCCTTTCATCAATTTCGAGTAAAGAATTGAAAATATTTCGATAGAACACACTCTTTCTTTAATATAAAATTGATGAAGCTTTTTTTTTTTTTTTTTTTTTTTTGATATTTTCTCTCCCTCCCTCTTTCTCTTTGAATTTGTTTCGCTGCTCCAGCTTCTTCTTATTCGTATTACTTGGATCTTTATAACTTTTTGAATTTGCACGCATTACAGGTTTCAGAATTCTTTTCTGTTTTGATTTAGTTGATGCTTTGGTATTTGAAGCATATGACTGTGTCGCCGGAGACGAAGACGAACTACTAGTTGTCGTATTATTTGACGTTGACGTTGACGACGACGAAGACGTCGACGATGATGATGATGACGACGATGAGAATAATGATGATTTACCGGGTATTTTTTTAATTGAACTACAACGACGTATAATTTTTTTCGTAACTATACGTTTGACATTATTTACGGAGGTCGTTCTATTGAAAACTGGGCCACTGTCATTTGCGAGGGTCTTATCATTATTGAAGGAAGAACTGAGAGAATTTTTACGTTCGGTATCATTGGAAGTAGACTCGCCGCAGTCATTTTTCTTTTTCTTGCGTATAATTTTGATAATTTTACGCGGGCGCTTCTCCGTTCCGTGATTCACTTTGACGATTTTTGGAGCTCAGTTACTCAGTTTTAAATTTCCAAAAGTTTTTTTTTTTTACTTTATTTAGAACGAAAAAAAAAAAAATAGAAAATAGAAAATGAAAATAAAAATAAAAATAAAAACGAAAAGAGAAGACAAGATAAATAAGAAACGTGGCAAGGCAACAATATATATATCACGTAATGCTATCTATCAACTTTTACGGCACAATTAAAAAGTTTCCCCGACTTTAAATTTCTCTTCTTTTTAACGTTTTTTTTGCAAAATTTCTTAAAATTAATTACTTCAACTCTTTATTTATTTAAGCTTTAATTTGTTCAAATTTATTTTTACAAATTTTATATTTATTTTCGTTCTTTTTATTTAAAATTTTTTTTTTTTTTTTTTTGAGATTTTTTAAAAAGAGTTTCAATTGCTTTAGCGTCTGTTGGAAAACTAGTTCATTATTGCCAAATTTTGATGCCAGAGACCCAATCTAAAAATGCTATCTTCTTCTTCTTAATTGACATTGTTTTTGTTTTTATTTTGTAAAAAACCAAACATAAAAAAGGTATTTATTTGAGATTTGTACCGAATCTTCGATATGCATCACACCTCTACCAATATACAGGTATATAGAGAGACCGAAATATGAAGGACAGCCTGACGACTAAGTATCCGATTAGTTGGGATAAATGCATAAATGAATGAACGCGTGCATACGTATATGAACACATGAATCAATTTGAGATATCTTTTAGCCCGATACGATATAATAAGATTCTCAATGGGCTTGATATGTTCATATGACTGCGTCCGTCAATTCAAAATTTGTATGGACTTACGACAACTACAATATCCGCTCGAGAGAAATCTATAAATTATGTTTCTTACAGTTCGTGTGTATGTAATCATCAAGAAGAATACCAGATGTGCGTTCACTATGCAATGAGATTCGATTTTTCCAGAATGCTTTCATGTTAAGGCAGCTGAAATAGAGCAACACACTTCCGCACAATAAACGAATGTAAATGTAAATATAATATATACATATATATATATATATATATATATATATATATATATATATATATATAATATTTATATAAAAAAAAAAAACTAACGTAAAAGAAAATAATTTCATTTTTAATCAATTTTTTCCCCCCACCTCTACACTTTATATACGCAGTGTATGGAATTTTCTTTGTTTACTTCCACGCAGACGAGGTGAAAAAATTAATATGCTTTTCTCAAATATATGGTATAAAATAAGCAAAATAAAATCTGTTCGATTTGATTTGATTGCTCATCTCCTCTCCTCTTCGGTGTGCACCATGCACTATGCAATCTTTGCAATTTTTTTAATTGGCATCAAAAAGTCGTATTATCTTTGTCTATGTTTCTTCCAATAATACCGATCAATGTTGTTGATAACAGGCAATGCGCTGTTGTTGCTGCTGCGACAGTAGAGCAATAAACCGTATAAAATATTTCAAAGGTAAATTAGCTGTAGTTTCGTGTGATTGCATTTGTTTTTAAAATATAAATAAATAAAAATTTTTGCTAAATTTTCTCTTTTGTTTTTTAGATCGAAATCAAATAAATTTTGCGTAAACTTGCATTATTATATATATATATATATATTTACTTTTTCACCTTCAAAATTTCCTTTTCATAAAATCATAATCATCACATTCAATCAAATCGATTGATGTGTGCTGTGTAGCTTGTAGTTCTCGGTACATTGCCATAACACACGTTCCATTGCAAATTTGAAAATGATGAAAATTGATAAAAATATTATTAGAAATGAAATAAACATTTTATATCAAGTCATAGATTTCATTGGGTTCAAGTCCTACTCATAATTGGGGGCTATGAAGACCCCTAAGGCTTAATAGCGCTAGATTCATATTTACACGACCCTCTTATCGATACATGTCTCAGACCCCGTCGCAATAGAAGAGTGAGAACAACAATTCAATTTTTAGTCTCCAATATCTTAGCTTACAAAAACGATTTTAGCGTGTACTGAGAACGGCACATCTGCGAAGAAATTCACGAATTGAAATAGAGAGTTGGCTTGGAGATGCTTGTAACACCTATACATGATAGTCAAAAAAATTTAAGAAGAGTTTATTTTGGTCGTAGCTACAGTGAGTGCTCCAAT